AGTACAGAAAGGCAACAGGAGAAATTTCGCGAAGACGCTCACTAAAAACAAAGAAAACCACCGGAATTTTTTGTCACCCAAAGAAATTTATAAAACTCGCAGGACATAAGGACAAAGAAAATGGATCAAATTTAAAATATGTAAACGGGTTTATAAATGAAACACCCATAAAAATTTTGATAGATTCAGGTTCTGAAATCTCACTGGTAAATAGAAAGTTGATAGAAGAAGTTAATTTGACAAATTTAATTTATAAAATACCTAGGGTAATTTTAGTGGGCGCGAATAAACGAACGTTAGCAACGATAAATGAAGGGATACGAATTAGGATACGATTTGGAAAGAAATTTTTTTCACTACAATGTGTGATAATGCCAAATATGTCGCATGATATGATAGTAGGAGTAGACCAATTATCGGAAAAGTATATAGTGTTGGATTTTAATAATAAAACCATGAAAATCGAGAATGAAATGATAGAATTAGAAGAAAAATTGGATAAGGACAAGGACAATGAAACAAGGAATATAGATAAAGCGGACAAAAAAGGAATAGTAGAAATGAATGTGGCAACGAAACAAGGACAAAGAAATATGAGAAAATGCAAGCAGACTGGCATTCTTCAAAAGATACGAGTCCAGAAGAAAAAGAAGAAAAGGAAAAGATAGAAGCATTTAAAGAATGGAACTCCTCAAAAGAGATGTTACTAGAAAAAGTCAAAGCATGGCATTCTTCATATGAGACGAGCCCAGAAAAGGAAAGGATAGAAGAAATTAAAGAATGGATTCCCTCAAAAGAGAGAAGTTTAGAAAAAGAAAAAGAAAGAGAAAGGAAGAAAAGGAAAGAAAGTTAAAGGAAGACAGTCATACATGGGATGTATGGAATTCAGGGAGCATAAACGAAAAACAAGATGATAAGTTAGAAACAACAGTATGTGAAGAAGAAGTGTATGCAAACGAGGACACCGAATACGCGGTAAATATGTGTAAACAAGATACGGAGAACAAAAGAGAGCTAATTTGCGGAGAAGGACAAGAAAAGGAGATGCGTTTAATGTTAAAAAACTACGAAAATTTAATAAACGAAGAAAATAGAGTGGCCAGAAATTACGAGCATATATTTGTGGTGAATAATTTGATAAATTTTCGTTCAAAAACATATTCCATCCCGTATAAATATCGGCAAGACGTGAAAAGAGAAATCGAGAAAATGTTGGAAGATCAGATTATAGAGAGATGTGATTCACCCTATGTCAATCCAATAGTGATAGTGAAGAAAAGCAGTGGAGATTTAAGGCTATGTTTAGATGCGAGAAACATCAACCAGCATACAGTATCCCAATATGAATCACCATTAAATATTGAGGCTATTTTTGGAAGAATAACTGGGTCACATATTTTTTCCAAAATAAATTTAAAACATAGTTTTGGTTGATTCCATTAGCAGAAAAATGCCGAAATTATACAGCTTTTTCAATTGATGGGATAGTATATCGTTTCAAGGTAGTTCCTTTTGGATTTCAAAGTGCATGCGCAGCACTGGTGAGAGCTTTGCACACCATTCTCAACCGTCATGAAGATTTTGTTGTCCACTATATAGACGACTTATTGATTTTTTCTCCGGATACGCAAAGTCATTTGAAACACATTAAATTGGTGCTGGAAGATTTGGATCAGGCTGGTTTAAAATTAAACATAGAAAAATGCCAATTCTTCCAAAAGGAAGTAGTATATTTGGGGTTTAAACTGAACACGAGCGGGATTACTCTAGCGGAAGACCGAGTAAATTTAATAAACGATTATCCGAGACCGAAAAATTTGAAAACTGAGAGGTTTTCTCGGAATGGTGAAATTATTTTAAAAAACTAATCCCAGACATAAGCGAGAAACAAATACCGCTAATTAAATTACTAAAAAAAGGAATTAGATGGAATTGGAAGGAAGAACAAGAAGAAGCTTTCGCAAGATTAAAAGAAGAGTTCTCAAAAGAAATCAAGTTGTATCATCCTATTTACCACCAACCATTTATTCTGAGAACCGATGCTTCAATTCAAAAATTTGTTTGGGTTTTATCACAAATACAGAATGAACAGGAAGTCCCGATATGTTTTATTTCTCGAGTAACGAAAACACATGAAAAAAAATATAGCGTTACTGAACTCGAATTCGCGAGTGTGCTATTTTGTGTTGAGAAGCTACGATACTACCTATTGGGAGCGAAATTTACAATCGAGACGGATCATGCCGCTTTAGTACACATCATGAAGAATCGATTAGTAAATAATAGAATACATCGAGGAATTTTGTTACTACAAGAGTACGATTTTGAATTCAAGTACATCCGAGGAAAGGACAACACCATAGCCGATGCTTTAACCCAAGATGAAGAAACAGGAAAAAAGGATACGATTGAATTGCAGGTAGGTTTAAACCGATTGGCACAAGAAGACGGTATTTTCTCGATCAATGAAATAAGAAGGAATCAAGGAGGTTTGGAGGAAAAGGAAAAAAGAAGAGCAGAAAGAGAAGACGATATTTTCTTTAAAAGAATTGAAGGAAAAGAATTATATTTGGTGAAACCAACACTGGCCGAGAAACTGATGAAAAACTTATATGTAAATAACGGACATATTGGAGCCCGGAAAGTATGGTTAGTTTTCCGTGAAAATTATATTTTTCGACAAGATTATTGTAGAGCTAAGAAGATGACCCAAAAGTGCAGTAAATGTCAAAGATATAAAAGTAAGAATTATAAAAATGAAAATGTCGCCAAAAACATCGTATCCCGAAACAAATTGGACATCGTAGCAATGGATATGTTGAGTGATTTAATCATAACAAATCAACGAAATAAACACATCCTGGTAATGGTAGATGTATTTTCAAAATATGTGAAATTGTATAGTTGTCGCACGACAAAAGGATTCGAAATATTGAGAAAAATCGACGATTTCATAGATTCCGTAGAAACGCCAAGGAGGATTGTATTGGACAACGCGACGTATTTTGGAAACGATCGTTTCAAAGGACAGCTGAGGGAAAGAGGAATAGAGATAAATTTTGTCACCATTCGTCACCCTCAGAGCAATCCGTCGGAGAGATTTGTCCAAGAGGTAACAAAATTTCTTCGTATTGCTACAGATGGACAACATAATCGATGGGACAGAAAAATAACAGAAATAGAAAAATGTTTAAATACGATCCCGAACACGGTGACAAAAGAAACCCTGGAATATGTTATGAAAGGAATAATGCCAGAGAGGCCGTGGGAAGATACAAACATCCGAGAATATCAACAAGTTTTGGAATTGGTGCGGAGAAGACTGCAAAGAAGTAATGAGAAATACGTCCAAAGACAGGACCGTAACAGGAAAAGAAGGCCTGTCACTTTTCAGGTTGGCAAAAAGGTGCTGGTGAGAGCTCTGAGAGTATCCAACATCACCAACAATGTTTGTGCAAAGCTAATGCCGGTGTTTGAAGGTCCATATATCGTAAATAATGAAAACGGTGTAAATAGTTATGTCCTGAGACATATGGACTCTGAAAGAATCAGAGAAATTTTCAATATTCACGATGTATACAAATATCATGAATAGAAAAAGAAAATTTTTTTTTAAGTAGAAATAAAATTTTTGATTAAGGGAATTTGGGTAATCTCATTAGTTTGAAGTTAACTATTGACGCGAGAAAATTTGTTGCATATTCGGGAAATTTTCATCTTTTCACCAGGCGGGGAGTTAATAAGATCCCCAAATTTTAAATAAAAATTAAAAATTAAAAGACCATTAAAGAAAAATCGAGAACACCCTGTATATAGAAATAGTGTAGTTGTTAAATCATGTTTAGTTGTAAAATCATAAACAATTTATCGAGAACAACGTGAGTGGGTTCCGAATATGTAAATAAGTGAGCTATGAAGTTTTTCTCCAATAAAAAGACAATTTAATTATGACATTTATTAGAAATGTCAATGTCACTTTTGCTTTTTAAGAAAAATTGGAATTGCTGGAAGTTTTTGGAGAATTTATAAGAAGTAGTGGTTAGTGTTGGTGTGAAAAATTAAGCAGCCATTGTGGTAAATAAAGACGATTTTCAATAGAAATAGAGGCATTACTGTAAGTACAAACAGATATATTTTCGTTGTGTCTGAGAGGAAGCAGTTTGTTTGTATTGGAGTTTGAAGCTTGTGGTAACGACATCCCAACATTTTCACATACTGTTGGTCTTATTTCTTGTATTATCAAAAGAAACAGTAGGCGAAATAGAAAGCAGAGAAATTGGTAGGATCCAGGAAGAAGTCAAGGAACCAATAATTATTTCTAAAATTTTTATATTAATATTTTAGAAATATGTGTATTTAATTTTATTGAGCATTAAGGGATGTGTGATTTGATAGATGATTGATTATTTGTTATTCTATTTATAGTGTATGGTGTAACATTTATCCCCAATGGAAATTTAAATTAATTGGATATATGTTAAAATAAAGGACAATTGTTTTAATATCAGAATTGATTGTCTATTATTTTTTTTGTTGATCTTTTTTAAATAGAACTAGCAGAAGATACTTTGAAGCCACGTTTATAATAAAAATAAATAAATAAAAATTATTTTTTAGCCCTGAGATATTCTTTGCTTTTGATTTGTTTAGAATTATAAGCAAATCGCAACAATATATTATAAATATATATATATATATATATATATATATATATATATATATATATATATATATATATATATATATATATATATATATAATATAAGGAAGAAGTTATGCGCGGTTTATTGCAATAAACATTGTACACAAGACATTGAACATTTTAGAATATGTATTGTTTATTTATTATCTATTTATTTGGTATTTTATGCACAAAATATATCTCTACATAATATATTTGTACATGTCTTCATATACTTGTACGTATATAACTTTTTTACCCTAATTCTACTCAACCCTAACTCAAAACAATAATATTTATAAACTACAACTGATTGTAGCAAAAGGCGTATGAGGAACAAAAATCCCTTTTTGCTGATTTAAAAACAGCTAAACCAACTATTGCACATTTAAAGGATATGAGATATTTAGAGCTAGTAATCAAGGAAACTCTAAGATTATATCCTTCTGCACCGTACATAGGACGGGAATTATCTGAAGATGTAGAGTACGGTAAGTTTTTGTACTTTGTTGTCGAAATAATCATAATGAGTATATATATATATATATATATATATATATATATATATATACATGTATATATATATATAATATATTATATATATATATATATATATATATATATATATATATATAATCGTCGTCAACACAAGAAAAACTCGTAACTCCATTTCACTTAATTTTTCAAGAGAGCCTAAAAACAGTAAAATTTCACGGATATCTTTTATTTGATAAAAAAGAACGATTAAACAACTATATTTTGAGTTTCTAAGTCATATAAGCAGAATATATCAATTTAAATTAAAAAACTAGCGGATATAGCTAAAAATATAGAAAATTTGGAGTTACAGGTTTTTCTTCTTTTTGAATGAGACGTGCCTATGGAGTTACTGGCATTCTTTATAAACACTGGATTGGAAAAATTAATAAAAAGCATTGGTTATCGATTTATAAAAACATATTATCTGACACACAAAAAAATATCCTAATAATAAAATACAACCAATACTTTTGAAAAAGGTTTAACATAAAATTTGTGTTATTTAAGTACCTACGTTAGAAATGAAAAATAGCCTCACTTTTCAACAACAATAAATAAAATTTTAATCTAAAAAAAATCGCATAAATATGTACAAAACACAGTGTAGTACAACAGTGATGTGATAGGACTTAAAATACCAATTGTTATGAGGAGATTGGACTCATAAAATGAGTGGTAATCGAAATCAAGGTATTATTTTTAAATACTGCAAAGTTCGAATTTGTCTTTTGTTAATGGTATTCTATTGTGTAAATCTTCGGCAGATCTACGAAATTCTTGGGTATCACATTCTGATTTATATCAACAAAGCAGTTCAATCCAGTTTTCACCAAATCTCAACTTGTAATGAATACCTTGTGGTGAATATTTTGTAGCTCTAATATTGGTCACAACTGCATCACCCTGCTTACACACTGTTTACTGCTCTGAAGTCCTTAAAAAATCATTATATCGAGTTACTATAAATGGATTTCCTTTTGCATATTTGTTTGTAATCACCGGGCACATTAATATCGCTCCTCTCAATTGCACTTGCATCATGTCGGTGTGTGCGTACCCTCCATCTGGTGTGCCTTTTCTCAAGTATTTTTATATAACTGTTACCTTTTGCTTTAAACAAAAGTTTAAAATTGCATTAGCTAGAGTAACAATTACGATTTTGGTAAGTACATCCATCGCTAAAACGAATTATTTCACTTACGTTTTCCTCAAGACAACTCCCTTCAGTATATTTTTCTAAAATACTTATGACCACACTAGCAAATTTGCACTGGTAAGATTCCCCCCGACTTATCCCAAAGAAAACAATGTCTTGTTTTGCGTGTAAGTTATAGAATGTGAAATTGTGGATTTCAACTTTTTTATATAATATGGGAAGAAACATTCGACTTAGACATACAAGATTGCCTGTAAATCTTGTTTCAATACAATGCTTTCACTGTTTTATCTTTAATTTTTCTTACTCTTGCCTCTTGTTTTTTCAACTGATGTTCCCTAAATGTTTCTTGGTCAAGATTTTCTGTTTTAAAAGAGACACACTATTTCACACAAATCTTTTTTGGGTCTATACAACGCCAACCTCTTTTAGAAAAGCGTTTTTCAAAAAGAAGAAAAAGATAGACTATTAATTTCGTTTTTTTAGGTACCATTCGTTTTTTTCCAAATTTTCTGTAACAGCAGAATTGTCTTCTTATTTTCAATTGATAACAAACCAATCTCTAAGGCCCAGAGTTGACAAAAACATTTTTTTGCATCCCTTCGTTATCTTCTCTAATTTCAAATAATAATTTAATGTCTTAACCTCCGTGATACATCTTAATTTTTCTATCCCTCTTCCGTTTTTGGTGCTTCAAATACTACCACGTTTTGATATAAAATCTCTTTTTGCCCATGTACATGTTCAGAACTTATTAAAAACATGTTCCAAAACACCAAATCCCTCCAAAACAACAAATCAAATCAACGTCCATAATCACTTAACTGACTTAACAGAAAATGCGCGGAGTTACGTGTTTTACAAACATAATTTTTTGACCAGGAGATACCTGGTTTTCTAGTAAACATTTAAAATTAGAAATCTACATTTAAATGACGTAATATTTGTCGATGGCTAGAATAGCGATTTCCTAATAGATGGAAGTAAAATCTCATTTTAAGTAAAAATTGGAGTTAACCGGTTTTCTTGTGTCGGCGACGATTATATATATGTATATACATGTAATATACATATATATACATATATATATAATATATATATATACGATATATGGGTTTAGTAGTCAATATATTGGCCTTTAATAAAACTGTTTTAGGTTTGCTAAGCTTTCGAGTTTATTTTACTTTATTTTAAGAAAGCTTAGCAAACCTAAAAGAGTTTTACTTAAAGGCCAATATATTGACTACTAACACATAGTCACTAAAGCCCTTTCTAAAAAAAAAAAAAAAAGCATATATATATATATATATGCTTTCGGACATTGGGTATGTCCTTCATCAGGGAGAAACTTAATGAGGTTGTATCATAAATGATTTTATAGAATGTTGATAAAATTTATTACAGTCTGTCATATCTGTTGAGTCTAAAACATATTCCTATATTTAAAATTTTAAAAATTACTTTGCATTCACACATATTTAATTATTAGACACAAATTTATGACATTGATATTACTAATTTTCTGAAAATTTAAAACATTTTACAAATGAAGTCTACTCTTGAGTTAAAACTGTAACAATAATGATGTCAACAAAATTCATTCACAGCTACAAAATTTTTAATTCTGAACAGAAAATCACTGACTTTTCCTTCCTAGATTGTATTTGGACCACATCCAGAATCTTCCACCCTCCATTGAAATGTGATCTGCCACTATTCGCCTCGGCTTTTTTTTTTTTTTCTTATCTGCAATCCTCCTGCAACGACTGTACGAAACATCTGACTCAATTATCCAACAATTAAAACATGAAATTTAATTCTCCAAACACTCAACTACTTCTTAATGACACAAGGACCTGTTTCTGTCAACTTGGTGTCGCCAAACTATTTCCTACGTTTTCCAGAAACTGCCCACTTTAGATCCAAGGATATCTTTTTATTGACTTGTAATCTCCTTCCACAATTCTGCTAACTTCCTTTTACAATGCTGGTGTCCAAACTCACGAACACACCCTCTATCGAGATACGACCTTTCCTTTCGATGATCAAATGACAACTGCACACTTTCTCTCTCTCTCTCATACATCAACTATGAATTCTCCCATCAAAAAAACTGTTTAATCAAAAAGCTTTATTTTGTTTACTATCATTAAGAAAAACCCCCATTACTGTTTCCAGAGAAACTAAAATTTTTTGCTTTAAAACTGGCTTTTCTTTGGTTACAAATACATAATTCATGCCAATAACAAAAGGTTAATTAAAATATCTTAAACTTATGTAATATACAAACAATAAAAAGATTATAATTAGTATGGGCTTTCTAATTCTATATAAAAAGATTTTACCTGCGAGTGTTTAAAAATCAGTTGTTGACAATCAAAACTTTCTGCTAATCTAATCTTATCTTAATCTAATATATAAATTTTGTTTACCAGGATGTCTTATTTAAATGGTCTATTTATTATTTATTAATGTTTATTTTTCTCTTTCACTGAGAAGAAAAAGTATGTATATATATAGTTTAGTAACAAAAAAGAAGAAGATTTATTCATTTATATTTATTATAACGTCAATTATAATTTATTACTTTTGCTACTACAAACCATTTCCAAAATAGTTCTTTTAAATTTATTACTTTTACTACATAAAATTTTAATATTATCAAAATCCATAATATGGTCTTTGTCTATTGCATGCTCTGCCAAAGCACAAGATGGTTTCTTAATTCTGCAATCACTTTTGTGAGAAATAATGCGAGTTGAGAGATTTCTTCCGGTCTCACAAACATACTCAGCTTTACACTGAGTAGTTTTGGAATATAAAATGAAATGGTTTTGATGTTCTTTGTTGCTATTTTTATATTGGCAATAACCTTTAGTGTTTGTATTAATTTAGGTGTTAATGATGGTATAAAAGGTAGTAAATGAAAATATGTAGATGTTCTGATTGTTGGATAAAATGTTCTGAGATTTAGCAAAAAATGTTTAAATAAAAATAAAATTAAAAAATAATTTAATTGAAAACTCTTATCCTACAGATATGCTCCATAGGATGCTTTTTTCTAATTTTTTTAATATAAATAACTTAACACCATTTTTTGCTAAATCTCAGAACATTTTATCCAACAATCTGAACATCTGTTATCATTCACTACCTTTTATACCATCATTAACACCTAACTTAATACAAACACTAAAGGTCATTGACAATATAAAAATAACAACAAAGAACATCAAAACCATTTCATCTTTATATTCCAAAACTAAGTATCCTATAGACAAATTAGAAAAAACAAATGTAGTACACAGCATTAGTTGTACTCAGTGTGAAGCTGAGTATGTTGGTGAGACCGGAACAAATCTCTCAAATCGCATTATTTCTCACAAAAGTGATTGTAAAATTAAGAAACCCTTTTGTGCTTTCGCAGAGCATGTTTTTACAAACATGCTTTCCGCATGGCCATGTAACGGTTGCATCTCGAAGCACCGAGAAATTTCCGGCAATATATCGAGCACTGTAAAATTCCACCCGTCAAATAACGAATTAGAGGTGGGACTACTCCCGAATATTCTCGAACATAATAATATATATATATATATATATATATATATATATATATATATATATATATATATATAAGTAACGATGATTGAGGTAGTTGGTTGTTTAGTTGATAAGATAGTACCGAACTGTAAAGTTATAAATAAATATATTTATATAAATCAAAACATAATCATTTGTATATATATATATATATATATATATATAAATAAAAAAAATGTTTGGAAATGGTTT